GTGCGTGAGTGTGTATCTCACCATGCCTTTGTACGTCGTCCCACGTTCGCACACCATTTCGTGACTACGAGTGTTTGTTCCAACACAGTGTCTCAACCTCCAACATCACATGTCTGGTGCTGTTGTGAACAGGACATGCAGCAACTGCCGACAGACGAGGTCACAGTCAAGGAATGGGAGGGCGAAGGCGAAGCAACAATCCGTAAGCTGCACACAGCCATGCAAGCTGAAACTGTGTGTGGGTGTGTATGTACGTGTTGTGTTGTGTTGTGTGTGTGTGTGTGTGTGTGTGTGTGTGTGTGTGTGTGTGTGTGTGTGTGTGTGTGTGTGTGTGTGTGTGCGTGGGTGTGTGTGTGCGTGGATGGGTGTACACACGCCATCGCATAAGCTCAACTTTCAATCACCGCTACCGCCACCACACCCACCAGCTGCCATCAAGACGTATGCCATGAATGCGTGGAAGGGCAAGGGCGGTATGCGGTTTTGCAAAGCATTTGCGCTCGCAGACGCGCGCTGGTCCTCCGGGCAAATTGAGGTGTGGCTCTTGCACGTGCCCTGGTGTGTGACTGTTTGTGTGCATGCATGCATGCGTGCGTCCGTGTGTGTTTGTGTGTGTTTGTGTGTGTGTGTGTGTGTGTGTGTGTGTGTGTGTGTGTGTGTGTGTGTGTGTGTGTGTGTTACTTGAATCTGCTCGTCTGCCCACCCCTTCCTCACACCTGTCCTTCACCCTTCCACCACCACCACCACCACCACCATCACCAGCTCGACCCCGGCGCGTCGAAGCCGCGGCAGTTCACCCGCCGAAACTTTCTGGTGAGGAGCACACGGGACAGTTGCACGGTGGCGTGGTTGTGGCGTGGTGTGTCATGCGTGCAAGCGGGTGGTTTGTGGGTTTGTGGGTCTACTTTCTCCATCAGCTTTGCTTTTTGTTGCCCTGAACATGCTTGTTTTTGCTTGCATCTTGCACAATGCTCATGCCATCACACACACACACACACACACACACACACACACACACACACATCTCAGGTGTTCACCATCACTGCCGGCACTGCGCGTGTGTGCATTCACAACGACGAGTTTGTCGTTGGTCTCGGCACTTGCTTCTACGTTCCCCCAGGTGTGTGTGTGTGTGTGTGTGTGTGTCGTGTGTGTGTGTGTGTGTGTGTGTGTGTGTGTGTGTGTGAGGGTCTGGGTCTCTTTCTCTGTCTCTTTCTCTGTCTCCGTCTCTCTCTACGTGTTTGTCAATGTGTGAGGTTCTGGTCGAACCTTACTTCAAGCTTCCTCTTGGCCACGCACCACGCTCATCCGCATTGGCGCCACCGCCACCACCATGAGTGCAGACAACTTCTACGCGTTTGAGAATGTTGGCAGCGATGTGCTGCGCGCGTTCTTCGTGCAGGTCAAGGCCGACACCCCGCCACCCCCGCCACCACAGGAGCAGCAATCGGAGGGAGAGCAAACACAGGAGACCCAGCCAATGGAGTAGGCAAACACATCCATACATACACACACGCACACACACACACAAACAAACAAACAAAAAAGCACACACACACATACACACACACACACACACAAATATTCTACCCATGTCTCACCTTCACGCGTGGGTTCAGACAACACATCACACGTTGTCACTTTCCTTTTGTTCGTTTCTGGTTTTGTGACGGTTGTTGCGCTTTGTGTTTGTGTGCTCACGTTGCTTCTGTTTCGGCGCTGTGTCCTCTCCTGTGCCTGTTGTCCTCTCATTCATCACACGGTCGCACTTCCTGCCTTCTGTTGCACGATTCCATGTTCTTGCTTGTGCTCCCCACCCGCTTTGCTTCTTTCCTTTGCTTCACCCATAAACGCAGCAGTCTTTACCAACATCATCAGCAACAACAACACACACAAACACACACATGTATGCCAAACACACACACACACACACACACACACACACTCTCTCTCTCTCTCTCTCTCTCTCTCTCTCTCTCTCTCTCTCTCTCTCTCTCTCTCTCTCTCGGTCGTTCTGTCTTCGCGCGCACACACACACGCGCGCGCACGCGTGCGATCTCATATCACACTCACATCTCGCGCGAGCGGTGAAACGGCAGACGACATTGCTTTTACTTGCACGGGGGTCAGCATGAAAGCATGGGAGCGGGGTCAACAGGATGGGTCAACAGAGGAAGCATGGGCACAACTTCGAACGCATGCACGAAGAAAAGCAACAGCCAAGAGTGGAATTGGAAGCAGCAACACAAGCATGAACGGCAACACAACCAAGAGAATGGGGGAAACAACGGGCAAGGAGGAAGCAAGTGGGCAAGCGTGCACGCTGGACAAGCAAGCAAGCACACCGACAACAACAAGTACGTCAGCACGGGCCGGTGTCACGTGTCGAGGTGCGATGGGTTGCACACAACGACAGCGGAACAGGGGGAGAGCTCACTCGAGCTACAAGGGGCGTTTGGCGTTGCATGGGTGCCGAGTGGTGGTGATGGATTTGAATGTG